CCCCCTCGCCCGCTCCCCCCCCCCCCAAACCCCTCCCGGCCAGCCACGCTCCCCCTGCCCTCCTTCCAGCCAGCTCCGCTCCCCTCCCCTCCCAGCTGGTCCCCGTCCCGGATATGAGATCAAGTGTGTCTGGTATTTTTTGAAGCCATCTGGTAACCCTACCCCTGCTTTAGCAGCTGGTTGTCTGTGGTAAGTTTTATATTTGGCTATGGGGCAAAAAGTTTGAGAATCACTAGTCTATACCTTTAGATATAGATGAACTTTTGCAAGTCTGATATTGTGACATGGCTTTTTCTTAAGCTTTTTTTATGCATCCTGGCTCTAAGTCTCTACACAACTCTTTCCAACAGCCATGAAAGTATTATTTCATACTAACTTTATGGAATATTTGACCCCTAATATGAAGCAAAATATACAGCACATTTTTGTTGGAAACGTATGCTGTGAGACAAAAGAAAACTAAAGCAAAACAGCAACAAGGAATATTAGTCATTGCTCTTGCCCAATACAATTATTTACAATGATGTTGATTGAAACCTAGGCTACAGAAGCTGAAAGGATCAAACAAAAAAGTAGCTACTGTTACAAGAATTCATATTATAAGTATTATAGGAAAAAAATACTCATTTTTCGAAAAAGCAATAAAAACACCAAACAAAACCAAGAAAACAATGCAAAGAGTAAGATTTGTTTTGCTTCTGAGGATTCTGTATATCAAAGTATGTCAACACTACAAAGCTTACTGTTTGTCAGCACTTGTGTAAACAAAAAACTTCCACCCTCTAGTGAGCAGCATTTGCTTTGTTGGCAGGAAAGGACTCCTTCAGACAGAGCACTATTTACACTAGTAGTTGCTGCAGCGAAGATGCAAAATTGTGTCGCTCAGTTGCCAGTGTAGACAGCAGCACAGAGTGGCAGCAGCCCCTATCCAGGGAGGTCTGAGCTTCCGGGCCAGGTGTGAGCCAGAACTGACCCGGGCTGCCTGCCTGCCTGGCTCCTAATAGACTTTAAATGCAGAGCTGCAGCAGGGGTAGGTCCTGGATCTGGTGCAAGCAGGGACTAACCTGGGCTGCTGGCCAGTTAAAAAATGTACTGGCAGGGGAGAGGGGGAAATGCATGTAGTCTATAGCATTTTACTTATCTGTTACTCGACTACACTATTACATCCCTACTAGCAGTGGAACTCTCACATTTCCCTTTAGGCCATTTATATACTACAGAGAAAGGTCAGCTTAAGGTATGCAATTCCAGTACATAAAGAAAGCTACATACCTTAAGTCAAACTTTGGCTCTATCCTCACAGTAGGAGGTTGATGGGAGAAATGGTCCTGTTGGCTTCCCTTACTTTTCACAGATGCAGGAGTAGCAGCCACTGATGGAGCACCCTCCAAGTTTGATTTAGTTGGTTTTAACTAGACCTACTAAATCGAATGCCAGAAGATTGATTGCCACAGTGTTATCTTCTCACAAGTTTAGACATGACCTTACTGATGAAGGGGAAAATTTTACCCTTCTGTTATAATTCCTTTACATTCTCCAGATAAGTTTAGGATAAGAATACTAAATCAGTTTTAAAAAGGAGTGCTTGTTAACTAAAGGTACCTAATATAGGATAGTAAGTATCTAACAATGTCACAGCAAATCACACAATGCGCAAATGTGACTATTTACTTTTTTAGCAGATATGTTAAATGAAATACTAACTTCTATTAAAAAAGCTTTAGAAATTGAGAGGCCTATTTTCTGATTAATTTAACATTTAAATAGTCCATCATATAAAGAAATGTAGATTATTAAATAATACACTTTTTAAAAAATAGGATAAATAACTCTGCATAAGAAAAAACCAGAATCCTTTTGGACAATATGGTCAAATAAGGCAAAGACTATTTTAAAAATATTTCTGTCTTTCCAGTTTGTCTTCTTTTATTTCTATAAAGTTAATCTCTTAGGACGTGTCTACATTGCAGCGCTAACTTGCAATAAGGTATGCAATTTGAGCTACACAAATTGTGTACCTTATTTCAAATTTCTTTCAAGATAGTTTAAATTTCAAAATAGACTGCTATTCTTACAAGTTCCTTAATCTTTGTGGCATGAGGTTTACCAGGATGTCTTCAAAATAACGGGCGCAGTGTCAAGATGCGGAAAACACTATTTGAGGATACTGGAAGCATCTAGAAATAGTGCTGTACTATAGACTGTATCCTTAGAGGAAAGGCTACCAAGGATTATACTGTTCTTTTTTTCTTCTTTTGTGAATGTTTTATACAGTTTTGGCAAAATGAAGTCAGAAGAATCCAAAAACACTGTTCTATTCCAAAAGCTCTGAAAACTCCTGCAAACAATTAACCCAGTTTTTGCATCCACGTAGCTGGAATTTCTAACCACTGTCATCTCCCACATAAAACACATTCCTAATTCCAGTGCTCGAGAAATGCAACAACTCTAAAACACATTCCACTATTATTTACAGTGATTATTTGGACTTTGATTCTCCAATATTACCCAAAAAAGCAAAATATATAAGCATCAGGAACAAATGCTGTTCCAAACCACAGCCATATAACTTATCCTATCAAGAAATTTGCTGCAATTAAAAAAAGTTCTTATCTATAAGCCATTAGCAAAATATCCTCAGGTTTCAACACACACATCATTATTTTCCTATATGACTGTTTATATGTGATTTTTTTAAAAAAGTTAAGTCTCTGTAACATGACACAATATTTGTTATTCTTTAGGTATGGGATAACACCATCCTCAACACAGTACATTGGTTGTATAATTAGTGCTTTGTCTGATATTATATTATTTTATCTGATATTACATTTCTGAACAGATGCAAGTTTAGTTTGGCAAGTCTCAGTCAAATTAGCTTAACACCTTGACAGGCACTGCCACAAACATGGAAATATTCCCATTAGGTAAGTCTCTTGAAATCACGTTCCAAGAAAATAGGCCAGATTTTTGTTAATATACTAAGTGACACTAAATATTGGCTGTGTATGTATATATATATATATATATAAACAGACATTACCTTCATTGCATGGATTTCTTCTAATAATCTCTCTGCTCGCCTTTGATTTTTTAATACCACCTCTTCTGAACCCCTGTAGATAAAGTTCTTGTTTAACTTGACAACACACAGTTTTGCAATAAATTCCCAACAAAAAAGTTACTATTTGTAGCAGCACAGACTATAAAAATCAATATGAACAATTTTATTGTTCACATTTTATGTGAAATGTAACTAGACACAAAGAAACATATCAATATGTCTGCAATTTAAAAAATGAAATTAGCACACAGAAAAGAAGACAATTTTTAAAATGTGAAGGCAATCTGCTTTGGGAAATTGTCTTTTGGTACATGCTATCTTAGACTTTATTAAAGTTAAATGCTGACAAATGTATAAATGAGATTTACTATTACACACTTAAAAGTACATGTTCATAAAGTTCAGTTCAAGACCAATCTCATTCTAAAAATATACTGTGTTCTTAATAAAAGTATTTAGATCTATTCAAAACTACCCTATAAATGTACTACCCTGTTATCCACCTCAAATATGTAGTGTGTTAAATAATGTTATGCAGACACATTTTTCCCCTCACAACAATCTATTCAATATTTTATAAGTCATTTAGAAGAAATGCAGCATTAAAAATTTAAGGACTATTAATATTAAAGCTCACTTTTTTAACTTAAGTTTTGCAATGTGTCTGGTGAGTCTCCGAATGGTAAGAACTCTGGCCTTCTTCACCTCTTTTCTCATCTTCACAACCTATTTGAAAGGAAGACAATATGTTAGAAAGCTACCTATCCTTGTGGACAGAAACAAACGTATCTGTTACGCCTTAGTTTTTTTCAAATTGATTCAATAAACAGAAAAATACAGGTTGTACCTCCCTTAACTGGGATTCTCTAGTCCAGGAACATTCATGGTCCGGCAAGACCACAGATGTTCCTGGACCACAGAGTCCAGGTATAAGGTGGTCAGCCGCAGGGCAGCAGCAGTGGGTGCAACTCAGCCAGGAGCCCCATGGTCAAGAGGGGGCCACAGCAGGGAGTTCTGGCCCCTGCTGCCAGGCAGTAGTGGGGGGTCGGCAGTAGTCACAGAGCCCCGGCAGCTGCAGAAGCCATAGAGCTCCACCCTGGGGAGCCATGACTGAGCAAGTAGCAGCAGAGTTTGTTTGGAGTTCTAGCCAGGGGCAGCACAGGCCACGATGGGAGGGACCTCTCCTCATTCGGCAAATCCTCTGTTCAGGACCAGTCTGGTCACAAGAGAGCCAGACAAGCGTGGTATGTTGAAAATATGCTTTACTCTTCTGTTTAACAAACATCTGAGTTCAAATGAATTTGGATTCCTGTTAAGTTCAAACTGCTTCCATAAACATCAGAGGAGGAAAACAAACCAATAGTCTAAAAATGTGTCTGAGGTCTGAACAGGAACTAGACATGAAAAAGCCAAGGGCATCACTACCCAGCCATGTTTTAATATTATTCTTAGAACTTCACTGGCCTAAAAGTTTGAACAACCTACATATTTTTTTTTTTTTTTTTTACTCATCTATTTTGTATTCCCACCCTCATTGAAAATGCACCTGTATTGGTCCATTAAAACATGATACAGAACAAAACTTTGTTTAACTAACAATTTAAATGTTCTTTAAAAAGCTGTGAAAATGAAAACTTATTCATTCTTCAATAATAGACTGACTGTCAAATGTCATTTTAAGTTCTACAAGAACAAACAAATGAAACCACATTGTTATATACGGGCTGTTATTACATTTAATTTTATTTCCACCCCACAGAATTATACTTGCAAGTTTTAAGTTTATAGACTTACATCAATATATATTTAATCCTACTTTGTTTGCTTTCATTTCTCCCCAGCCAACCTCACAGAAATATATCTATCTTCTAGAATATATAAAAGAGAATGTTTGTGCTTTAATAACTTGGACACTATAAGACCTACCGCAACCAAACTTTGCATGGGATAACCTTTCATCCAGGAAAGGGTTTTAAAGAGATGAGAGACCAATGCCTCTCCCCGGGGCTGCATGGAGCTTGTCAGTGTAGGGAGAAGTAGCTTCCCGGGGGAAGCGGCGGGGATAGTTGCTCACTAAGGCCGGTAGAGGGATAACCTGTCATCCAGGAGAAGGTTTTAAGGTACTGTGGGAGAGAAGAAATGAGAGACCAACACCTCTCACCAGGGCTGCAAGGAGCTTGGCAGTGCGGGAAGAAGCGGCTTCCCAGGGGAAGTGGTGGAGACAGTTACTCACAAAGGCCGGTAGAGGGACAAAGAAGCCGAGAGCGGGCTCAGGCACCGGCGGTCAGTGCAACTTTTCTACCATTCAAAAAACGATAATGGACTACTGTTTTTCTAAATTTTGTTCCTCCACTTTCCCGAGCAATGCCGGGTAACTCCTGCTAGTTTAAAAATATAGCATGAACAACAATAATTGGTAAATCCATCAAGTTATCTGGGATCTTTTTTCATGAACTTTCCCCAGGGCCAAACTTATTGCAACTAGATATTTCAAGCTGAAGTGCAGCATAACAATAGTAGCATCTCACTTCTGAATGACGACCTGTCCGTTTGTGTACATTAATACTGTGAAGGAATTTAAAACTATTTACCAGCCAATATATTATTTTTCCAAATACACTTTCTAAAACTTTTCTTTTTGGAGTGATTTACCATCATTAATAGTAAAACAATGTTAAAACCTACACAGTGGAGAAAAAGAACAAAAATTGAACTGCTTTTTATAAAATGTGTAGTAAATTTCTAGCAAAACCTTTAACATTTACTTCTGGACAGAAAATTTGTACTGTATGCCAAGTTGCCATGTCCTTCTTAAAATTTCACAGAGCAAGTGTGGGGAACCCAAGGCCCCTGGCTTGCCTGGATCTGGCCTCCAAGGCTCAGGGCTCCCCCCAGCACTGGGGAGGCAGTGTGGGCTCTCCAGCCACCCCACCACCCTACCACAGAGCTGGAGAACCCAAAATCTACTAGCCTGGGCCCCTAGGCTGACATATACAAGAGAAATGTGGGGTGTATTTCTGTTTCTTAGTCTGGGGCCACGTCAGTAAGGGTTTTGTTGTTGTTTTGTTTTTCCTTCTCACTTGGGTGCAGCCTCCAACTGATTTTATTGTGGGTCAGCAGCCCCAGACCTAAAAAAGATTTGCCACCCCTGCCATTGAGGATTTTTTTTTATTGTACCCCTAGTTTTTATTTTAGTTTCTTACTACAGGCAAAATTTTAAATACTTGCACACTTCCCATGCATATCCACATCAAAAAGATGTAAAAACCTGGGGGAGACCCTAAATGGTCCAAATAGCTTGTGGCATTGGGTATGCATCAAACTGAAACAGAATAAACTTTACAGATCTATGCAAGTTTTCTGCCCAGTGCAAGTGATATCATGTGAAGTTGCAGAAGCAACCAATAGCATAGTTGAGGTACTTTACCTCCCCTGTGTGCTTATCATGTTCAGTGGAATATAATTGTTCTCAGAGAATTAAATGGGACAATATTCACAAGTCTTGAGGTTCTACTTGTCATTCACAGCAGCCATTTAGTTATAGGCTCTAATAAGCATAGGGTCTTCTCTTCATTGATAGATACATTCTGTGTCATGAGCCAAAGCTCCCTAAATTTGGCAACAGCAATCCTCTGGCTACCACTGCTATTTGCAAACTGTATGAATGACCTGTGAATCCTTCACCTCCCCTAATGACCTTCACAGGTCATTTGCATAATTCCCCAAATACAGCTAGACCCACCATTTTGGGACCTTCTCCAGGTGCTACAATGGAGTCAGCACCACATCCATTTTTCTTAGCTTGTAGATAATTTCCCACAGGTCTTGATAATCCCAGGATTGGACAACAAGGGTAGAGCCATAGGTCATCCCACTGTTAGCCATAATCATCCGCCGAGGTAGACCTCCACATCAGTTTGAATGCACAGCAAGAAGATTGTCTCCCCTGGGGTGCCTTCTTCCTCAGGGTCTGGCTACAGAGAGGCCAACAGACCTTGCACTTCTGTCCCATTGATCCATACAGGGACTGTTAATTTAGTAGGTCCTCTCTTCCACACTTGACTGTCTGCTGGTTATACCTAGGGATACTCACATTCCATACAGGATTACTCTCTTTGGTTGCCACATAAGAAAGAGCCCACCATGTTTTGGTCTCATCTGCTACCAACCTTGCCTCTTAGTAGTCTATATACATACTATTCCCTCACCCTCCAAAGGCCCTTTACTATCCTGTTATTGATTTGGTCAAATAATTCATTCTGGTGAAATGCTGATAATGTCCTTTATGAAGAGAGGGTGTTCTATTATACTGAGCTTCACATCAGATTGGATTGGCTTGGCTTCTCACTTCCAGGTTTTCCCCTGCCATCATCTCTGAAGATTCTCAGCAGCTGTACTGCTTCTGTTAAAGACTTTGGAAGGTGACTTAGTAACTGGGGCTCCTGTGGGGAGTATTCATACAAACTGCACAAAACAGCACTAACTTGGCTACTTGAGCATCAGTCCACTCCTCCAGCCTTAACCTTCACGAGCAATGATCTTTCAGATTTTGGACCATCATCAGTGGATGGACCAGATACATTTCCATCCAGCAGTGGCAACATTCTCTCTTTTCACAGAGATCAAGAAAGTCCAGGTGACAACCTCAACCACTACAGGCAGGCCCCGACTTACACGTCTCTGACTTATGTTGGATCCGCACTTACGAACGGGGCTTTTCTCGCCCGGAGCTTACGGGCGGCAGGTCACCGCCCATGTCCTCCCGGGTGAGAAAAGCTTCTCCCGGTCTCCCTGGTCTGCTGGGGGGGTCTAGCAAAGCCACTGGACCCCCCCCAGCAGACCAGGGACAGCCGAGCAAAGCCGCCCAGGTGGCAGGAGTCCCGCTGCCTGGGAGGCTTTGCTCATTTGCCCTGGAGCAAAGCCGCCCAGGCGGCGGGACTCCCCCCGCCTCAGACCGGGGGCAAAGGAGCAAAGCCACACGGGCAGCGGGGTCCCTCCGCCTGCGCGGCTTTGCTCGGGTCTCCCTGGTCTGATTTGGGGGGAGGGGGCGCAGTTAGTGCGTCCCCCCCCCAGCAGACCAGGCTTTTGTTGTGGGACGCCTCGGGTAGAGCAGCTGGGGTGCTGCCGGGTTGGTCCTGTGGGAACCTACCAGGCAGGGGGGCAAAGGAGCAAAGCCACACGGGCAGCGGGGTCCCTCCGCCTGCGCGGCTTTGCTCGGGTCTCCCTGGTCTGATTTGGGGGGAGGGGGCGCAGTTAGTGCGTCCCCCCCCCAGCAGACCAGGCTTTTGTTGTGGGACGCCTCGGGTAGAGCAGCTGGGGTGCTGCCGGGTTGGTCCTGTGGGAACCTACCAGGCAGCGCCCCAGCTGTTCTGTCCCAGGCTCCAGATTCAGCAGCTGTTGAAACTGATCAGGCTGATTCCAGGAAGCTGGGGGCAGAGCAACTCTGCCTCTGGCTTCCTGTAGTCAGCCCCTGGTCAGTTTCAGTGGCAGCAGCTGAATCTGGAGCCAGTTCCAATTTACATACAAATTCAACTTAAGAACAAACCTATAGTCCCTATCTTGTACATAACCCGGGGACTGCCTGTATATAACTCTTTATAGCTACACAGGGACAAGTCCTCAGTAGGCTGCCTGGACTAGGTCAGTGAGGAGGCAGGACCCAATGATCTCAAGACCCTTAGGAGATCAATGTCACTCACTCAAAAGTGATTAAGAAAGCCTCAGGA